AATATTGACAGGTCTAGTCTCGACTGCCCTGTTTCAACAGTATATGCCGCAGGCTGCAAAATATCACACATTCTATAGTTGATCTGGTTGACTGTACTATCCATCGATTTGTACTCCCCGCACGCACTTCAGCTTGATACTGCTAACCCAATTGCTGGATCCTTAAAAGCAACTAAATTTGTAGAACACACTTGAAGTAAAGGGGAGCCGGCAAAAATGACGTGAAAAATGTCCCTCCCTCTAACATATCCTCGTGTTATTCGAGCATATCCTGGATGTTAGCATCCCCTCGAGGATCATGTTGGTCAATAACTTCCCAAATGGCTGCCTCACTAGGCTCGCTAGGAGGCAATCGTCAGATTGTCGCCAACGAAACATTTTCCTGCACCGGAGAATGTGAAAATATGTCAGATGCAAATATAACAGGGTTAAATGCATGGAAAAGAGCCACAAATGACGGTCAACAACGTTACAACAAACTGGGTGTGCTCCAAACGTACGCCACATTTGTTGATCCATACATTGAAATACATGCAAAAAGAGACAAAATTGGAGACTTTAAGTGACTATCGGAGGATGCGATACGTCACTTAAGCAGTCAAACGACCTCCGATCGCCAAATGGACCTCATCATTACGATCAGAGCATCGAATTTTCTTAAAAGGGAGCCCCCGAAGTTAAATCCAACGAAAATGGTCAAAATCAGTGTCCGACACCCAAAAATGTTGTGAGATGTTGCCTAAATGGCGTCCAATCACAAAATGGACTTCACCGTTGCATTCAGAATGTTGGCAATGCCCAAGAATGATTATAATTTTGCTCAACAAAATTCACATGAAAAAAATTGGTGCGGATCTGAGGCGACGATGCATGAATCTCGAAAAAAAGGCGCGCGGATCAAAATAAGAATTGTTTTGTTTCATTTTTAATCATACATGAAGTGTTAGGTGTGCCATTGGCCTTCACATGTGGTATATATGTCACGACCCAACCCGACCGGGACGGATCCCGCTCGCATCGGGCCGCGACAGAGCCAACAAATCCAGGATCTTGTTTTGGAATTTGCTTCAGACTTTCTTCCAGAGATTAAATAAACAGAAAAACACAGAGCTACTACAAACATCCAAATACAGCGCAGTTCATCTATCTTTTCTTTCCTCAAGATAATCATATACAGATACAGTGCATGGCTTACAGACAGAAAGAACAGAACAGAACGGATAAGCCATGACTGTACAAAAATCAAAAGTACAAAATACCTAATCACAGATCAGACTCTGGACCGCTAATCCACGACTTCCTTCCCTTTCCTAGAACCTGAAAACCACGTAGAAAACAAGGATGAGCTAACAGCTCAGCAAGACATCACTCACCAATCCAAATCATCAGAAACACCCATCAGAAATAGCCATACGAAAATTACAGAACAGATATCATAAAGTTTTCAAGTCACAGAACAGACAGAATCGTACGGAATAACCAGAATCGTACATATATCGAATGATTCATAAAACAGATCAGATAAGTCACATAACAGATTTCAGATTTCAAACATCATATTTCAGATAGCATATCACATATCAGATTTCGGATTCCCAGACCCTTACAGAATCTCGACGGATTCTGGCCCCTTATGTCTCCATTCCCTGACACTTACAGAATCTCGACGGATTCTGGCTCCTTATGGTTCCCTGACACTTACAGAATCTCGACGGATTCTGGCCCCTTATAACTCCCTTTTGATAGCACACAAACACTTTACTTCATTCAAGGAATCAATTCAGAAAGATCAGAAAGCGTACGAAATTTCAGCGGCATAACGGCAGTATACGGAATTTACACAGAACTCACAGATTCAGAAATTTACCAAATTACCACAGAACATTCACAACAATATTGTAAGACTTTCATTGTACTGACAAAACATTTTTCAACATCCTGATAATTTGCAGTTCAATTAAAACACCGCAGAATCCAAAATATCCGGTAAAAATCTTCCATAAAATACTCAAAACGTGCACAATTATCATCTCAAAGACATACCAAAAGTTACGCGGTAAAACCTTTGTCAAAAGAAAATAATGCCCAAAATTCGCTAACGGAAACAAAATTCAAAACAGAAAACTCGTCAAAATCCTCGTTTCTGAAAATTGAGAAAGGCGGAATGTGCCTTACCTCGAGTCGGTCAACTTCTTTAACTACAGCAACGGACGAAAACGGACCGGAGTCGCCCAAAAATCACTTTTCCTTTCTTTTCCTTCGATTTTCTCTCTCCTGGGCTTTTCTCTCTCTTCAAAATATCTCATTTCTATATATATCTAGACGGATCGTTCTGGACGATCGCAGCTTTGTCCTGGGACGATTTGGCTCTGGACGAATTTCGTCCATACGAAATTAATTACCGTCACGGACGACTTGGGCTCTGGACGATTTTCGTCCAGACGAAATTAATTATCGTCCCTGGACGATCAGGCTCTGTAACATTTTCGTACAGACGATCCACCTATCGTCCAGACGAACTGCTCAGTCTCCAAAATTCCAACACAACCTGTACCGATCGTCCCGGGACGATCCAACTTCGTCCCGGACGATCCTGGGAGAAAAATGGTCTTTACAATATAACCTTTGGAGGGATTGAGTTTCCTATTCTTACTCTAGTTGTTGAAAGCCCAGATGGTCAGAATTTTGTTATTGTACTTATAGGAAAAATGCAGGAAAGATTTGATCTTTTGCTTTGAAGATTTGGTAAAATGTATTCTTTGTAGACTTGAGAGAGTTGAATAATATCTATACCCCATTTAGTAATAGTAACTCTTTGGCCCTCACTTATCGGAGCCACTCTAGAGACTAAAGGGATGGATAGTGGAGACCGTATTTGCTCACATTCCTTCGTGAGCTTCAATCATTAATGTGAGCATCAATCATTGAGAGTTGCTCTAGGGAATTTTGAATAGTTGTAAACCACACTTTGTCACTTGCTTAGATCCCCCTCCCCTAGAGGAGAACATTCTTGGATTGCATTTTAATACTTTGAAGGAGGGGTCAAGATAATTATGAGAATGAGATAGAGGATCTAATCCTACTAAGGAGGAGAGGGTCAACTTTTTTGAACTTCTATAAGATATGGTTTATCCTTGTATAGTGAATTCATTATTAATTTTGATTACGCAAATTGATAGTAGTATGATGATTTCTCACAAATGATGTCAAATTATTATGTATCGTAAACTATATTTGAATTTGATAGAATCGGGGTTAATGGGCTATCTCAAGCTTGATATCAAATCTTTTACACAACAGCAAAACAAAAGTAAAAAAGTCAATTCAAGGTTTTTCAGTGAAAAAGCCTTTAAAGCTGAAGTCAGTGGCTGACCTTGAGAACGAATAAGAGTTGAAATTGATTCAATAGAATTTCAATTTTGGGATAAAGACCAAGTGCCTAGAGGAGAGCCCTCGTCTTTTAATGGAAGAGAGTGAAGTTAGAAGTTATTCACTTTTTGCTTGGAAGGGGCATTTATAGAGGTCATAGTGACGGTAGTTTAGTACTTTTGTGGGGATTGATGGCTGATAGGAAACGCTTTTAGGAATTGGAGAAAATCTTAGCTGAAATTGAATTCCAGTGAGCCCAAAACAATAAACAAGAGAGATCTAATTGGAATCTCACAATAAAAACTTTTTAACTGATGATAAGAAGAAGAAACAAACAAGATACAATTGATCTTCGATTGGAGAGGAAGGTCCAGCTCTCCCAAACCCTAGCCGTCCATTAGAGTCCCTTTCTCACCTTAGGAAAACTTAATTCAACAAAAACATCACCTCACCCTAACTCTCCTAGGGCAAAACCAACTACTTAAAGGATACAATAAAATGCAAAATACCAAAACAACCCTCCTAATTTTAAAATCTCTCCTTGCCGCCCTCTCTTCTCTTTGTATTATGCCGTGGACCTCACCCCAAGGGGGGCAAACAACTGCCGGGGTTGAACAAGCGTACTAGGCTTTCGCCTGGAATAGAACAGAGTTGGTCCCTTCTGGACTGGCTAGACCAATCCCTCCTGAACCGGTCTAACAAATGGAGATTGAGGAGGCACCTCAACTTTGAGATTTGTGCTGGATGGAAATATTCTTGGGTGAGAAATTTTTGTCCTCTAACCGATTAAATGCTTGAGAAATGAGAAAATTGTCTTTGAGATCCATGCTTGACCTTTTTGCGCTGGGTTAATGGATGGATGGATATAGCCCTTTAGCTTTAAGATCTATGTCGTTGAAGATCTAAATCAGGCTATAGGATGGTTTTTTTTTGGGTTTGATTTGAATTGTACCATGAAACCTCTAGATCTATGCTTGATTTTATGGATTTAATTGAGGGTCTTCACAGATCTTAGTGCAATCCAATGATATAGATTTAGAAGTACCGCCACTTCATTGTTGGATGACCCCGGTTAATTTGGACTATTTTTGTAGACATATCAATCATCATTTCCTTTTTTTCCAACTTGTATATTGTGATAAAAAGGTCTTTCCTAATATTGCAATTGACATAAACTTCTTGAATTAGCTTAGTGTCAAATAACTTTGCTTCACTTTGTCATATATGCAGGCAACGAGGATGATTTTTAATATCAAAATATTACTGTATAAATGATGCTTTTCCATCTTTATGAATTTAGTAAGCATTCTAGGATTAATTCAGTTCTCTGCTGCCTTTCTCTTGTTAAATAAAATATTTTACAAAATAGATACTGTCTTTTGATTTGGTTTCAGCTTTTGCTTCTGGTGTTCAAACACAATCAGGAGCTTTTGCTATTGCTACTTGTAATTATTTATGGAGGAGGAAAAAAGGTGTTCTTAAATCGTTATGCAAAACATATGCTAAAAAATAAATGCCCCATACTTATTACATTTCTTTTACTTTTATGCAAATACCAGTTATGGCGCTAATTTTGTTTTTTTATTTATTTTGTTCTGTTCTTCTAATATCCTTCATAACTATTCTTGCAGAAAGCTTTCTTTCTGTTGATGTTTCTTCTCAGGCTAAAGAAACATGTTATAACTGGTTTTGCAAGATTGGTTCGATTCGTGAACTTCTTCCACGCATGTGAACATCTTGTACTTTTCGCTTATTTAGTTCCCTTTTTAAACATATTTAAACACCACTTTCTCATGTCGTTCTTGTAACACTGTTTTGCTTATTACTTTCTCGGTATAATTAATGACAATGCTTTTAAATCTAAGGTTTTTTTTTTGAATGGATGATTATTAAATGGGGCATGAAACATTAGTTTTTTTTTTCTATCCATTAAGGAAGATCAGTTTTTCCATGCCAACCTAGGAGTTCGGAGTACCAAGATAGAGATAGATGGTCTGACGAATGTTTGAAGCTTAATGCACCTTCTATACTATGTTTTTATAACAATCTGAAACCAATTTTTTTCTTTATATATAACTTCCAACATCTCAAAAAAGCTACTAAACAAAAATTTTTCATTCATCATGAAGACATTCACATGTATTTTGAAACAAAACATGTCATATAATAATATTTGAAGGGGAATGTTCAAATTTATTCTATACAAATAGCGAAACAATAAGTATCTAACAGTAACTGATTTTCTCCTTGTGTAAACAATATCCCTTTTTTTGTTCATTTACACCATCTTAGATTTTCCTTGAAAACATTTATTAACATTTATCAACTAACAGGGGTGAGTTCTAAATATATAGCTTAGTGGGTATATTGTAATCTAAACCATAATGACTCAAAGGAAAAATGCAACACTATGCATGATAGTTCTCATATTTAAGCTATACAGAAAAATATGAAATTTGGCTTTCATTTAAATAATAATTTTGACAAAAACATTACTTAGTAATCGATACTATGTATAATAATGGAATCATTGCATCCAACTTGACATTATAAGTTTGAATATGTACTTTGCTTATTATATCATAACTTTAATGTACACTTAATGCATCCATCTTAGGAGAACCTTATATAGATAAACCAATGTTGTGAAAATCAGATCGGACATAGAACCAGAATGAGAGGTTTAGGGTTCAATGGTTCGATCGAGGGGAACTAGATGACGTAATAAATATAAAAATTATTTATATAAATTTTAAATGACGGAATAATCATGTAATAATATAATATTTTGATTAAAAAATAAATTGAATTCATACTTTAATAATATTTACTATACTTTTAAATTTAAACATATTCAATCTTTAAATTTAATTCAAATTTAACAAAAATTTAGATTACATATAAATTTAATATAAATTATTATTAATTTATGTTATATGTTTAGATATAATTTATATCTATAAATTATATATTAAATTCATATTATAAATTATTATGGTTAGATAATTTATTATTAATAAATAAATAAATAATTAATAATTATTTTTTATAATACATAAATAATAAATGAAGTATATAATTTATTTAATGTTGTTAATTAAAAATAAATGCTATT